GCTAATGATGTACAAAGAGTAAAGTTGAAGATACCCATATAAAAATTAACTTTTCCTGAGACGTCACTCTTATCATACCCATTAATTATTATTTTTTTATTTATTTAATTAGCAAGGGGTTAGGTAAGGTACAGCAAGTTTTTTAATCTTAAAATACAATTAAAACAATAGTACAATATTAATACAATTAATGCACAATGAAACAATTAAACATTTTTAATCCTTGAATTCATCTCAATTGCTTTTTAAAAAGCCTAGTACTTAAGATATTGAAACAAATTGATTTTATACGCGCATTAAAAATTCGATCATTTGAAATGATTATTCCTAAATCATAAACTTGATCCATCTTACATCTTCATAATATCATCATTGTATATTTTGTCAAACACTAGCTGTTGGTGACGTTTTTGTAACCTTAATCCATGCCATGTTTGGTGTGATGAATATCACTAATCACTCAAGGCTGAAATTTGTCTTACATGAAGGTGGATTTCTGGCCAATTATAAAGGATGATAATTAAATATTGTATTAAGTATTTGCTTAAAAGACTTTGTAAAAAAAAACTATGGAAATCTTACTAATAAATAATAATCAATGATCCAAAACAGATCGTTAATTTGTCTTCAAACATTTAACAAACTGCCAAATGATTATAATAACATTAAAATAAATACATTTACTTTAATTTCCCAGCTCTAAATCAAAACATCTTTTCTCGTGGAATCCAAATTCATCAACTCGTATTTCAAACACAAACCCCAAAGTAGGGTTCAGAACCTAACAAGCAACTTTTCACTTTTATTAAGGGTCTTAAACTATTTATGTATCCTCTTATTTTTCTACTCTTTATCACTGTCATTGATAAATTAATTCCGACAATCGATTAATACTTATCTGAAAAAGTAACTACTCACCGTGATATCTTGGAATTCACTAAAACCTTCTCATAGGACCATCTCAAGACTACAATATTCTAAACACTTTCGGACAACCCGTACAGCTGATGATAAAGCTGAAATTGACCTCAAAACCTATTTATTCTTATACACTTTAAATTAAACTAAATGTTTAGTATGTCAACTGTGAGACTTAAACGTCCATAATATTGTATTTTTTAATTCAATTAAAATTATCCATCGAACAATTTAACTTAACATTCAATTAATTACCGATTTTACAACTTCACAGGCATTAAAATATATTTGTATAATATATGGCCATTACATAAAATAGCGGTACAAAACGTATTAAAACAGATTGATAAAAATTCGTGTCAAAAATGATGAAAGCCTAGTTGATATTATCTCACCGTCGTGTAATTTATAGTGTAAACCGAAAACGGCTACAACACAATATTTGAATATTATTATTATTATTATTACTATTATTGTTATTACGTATGTTTGATACGAAGCGAATTCGGTCGCGCTGGCTATCATGCAATATAATATCTAGGGCGCGGTTCGTGTGTGTGACATAGCTAGTAGGTATAATATAAAAACATATTTACGTACGCATAAAACTTGAGAGAGTTCATAAACAACCCAAAATACGTATTACTCGGGTTCAACCACTCGGGTGTTGTTAAACGCTTTATTTATACAAAAATATTATATACACATATACGCTGCAGAGTTGAAAAACAAAACACAGTGTACTCTATTATGAGTAAAAATTATTTTACGAGCAACAATTATATAATATTTTGAGACATTTTATACTATATTATCATTATAAGTTATAAGTTTTTATAACTTGTGTTGTGCGTTGGATATCGCGTCATCGTCTCAATAATATTATTATGTAGCAAATATACAATGTGCGTCGCCGTGTTTATTCAGAAATTGTTGATGTATGCAGTGCATGATTTTCAAAAACAATTTAATAAAGTAGTTGTGCTGTAAGACCTAAGAAAATGTACCTAAGAATACTATTTTCAGGAGGGGCCCAGACATTGTCTATATCCATTATCCACTTTCGATTAGTACCTTATTTAGTTTTTAGTTTTACTAAGAATTAGTTAACTAAATTAACTCTAGCTTTACTAGATCAAACTATTTTAATGAATAAAATTAATTAAAGTATAGTTTTTTTCTTCTAAATGTAGCTTTATGAATTTGTATGTTTGTATATTGTTGATATTCTAATGTATTTTTCAAATTCAATTTTTATTGTGCTTTCGGGATTTATAGTGTGCTTTATATTTGAATTTTTCTAGATTTTAAATGAGTTTTGTAAGGTTTTTAACTGAATTAAACTAACACCTCAACGTATTAGTATATTATCTCAAACTCACTGATGTACAGTCTTACCACATCAGATCCATCCTTAGCTGTAGTCTGTAGATACTAGATGGGTAAGTGATGGAGGTATGGCCAATCGAATAATAATCCTACAAATATATAATTATTTAAATCAGAACCAATTAAATTTATTAAATGCCAACAAGCGTACAGAAAATACCAAAACACAAATATCCATAAGTTAGTTACGATCTATAAAACATTATAAGTTTGCGGGAAGCACAAAGTTCGACGGGCAAGGCTTAAAAACAAGTAGGTACTTATAATATAATAGTTTACGCTGAAATGAAATAAATTAAACGCATTGATTTCCATTTCGTATGGAAATAATTATTAACGTTCATAATATTACCTCTGATAATAAATAACGATCATTGCTGGTTTATGAAGTGATTTCATGCATACAGCATATATTACCGATATAAACTGGTAAAGTGGTAAATAAAGTTATTTTCATGTACGGCGTCTTCTACTGTATCGCGCATATATATATATATATGTACATAACGTACGTCCTGCCCAGGTACGCCCTAACCTATACGGGGTATGTGGTCATCTTATATAACTATTAAACATCGATCTTTTGAAATTCAAACACATCAATTTCAGAAATTTAATTGAAAAGTTTCCTCGTAATGTTTGATTGTATAGATAAACTTTCGCAGGAAAATCGGTTAATATATAGAGATGAAGGTCGTTTATCAGACATTTCAAACGGACTAAACGGACCGTGTTTTGATACCACTCGAGGGACTCACTCAATCAATTTGAACTTGCTTTTTGTTATACGTAATAAATCATTCGACTCGGAACGCCTAAACTCATTAGGTACCTACCCACCTCGGGGGCATGGGTGTATTATTTGCAATATGACTTTATGATTTAGGTTTTACATTTGATGTGCATAATAATAAGTTCGACACGGCGGTGCCGTCGGTGGTACCTAAATACGTTTTTCAGTCCTTCTCCGGCCGAACTACAATTTATAACTTCGGCTGTAGTCACGTGCCGTGGATGAGAATACGAACGCAGGTAATAGTGAGATAACGTCACGGAGCAAACGACGACCGAATGATTTATACTTGTATCGCAATATTATTATGACACATTTTGTGACACGTGCACATTGTGAGTACAACGAGCAAGGCGGCTGGACGAGATTTATATGCATCCATAAGAACAATAATAATATATTGTAAATTCGTAATAATAATAGATAACAGCATGATATAGGTAAGAGTAAATATTATGTAGACGGAAAACAGTGCTGATCGGTGATAAGGCCCGGCCAACAAAATTTGTTGGTTACTCGGGTTAATTTTGAATTGGGTATACTTGTAGTCAATTATTTAAGAGATCACCAACCACCGACGTACGTAGCTTTAAACGTTGAACTGAATAATCTGCTGATACTGATATTGTTGTGAGCTTTGAAATTAATGTGTTTGGATGAGATTGTAATAGTTTGACATGGACATATTTTATGTACACTTCGACAGTCCAGTGCTTACAATGCATTGAAACATGATTGTTTATCAATAGTATTTACAATGGCTTATTACCTATATAGAAACAATGGTAATAAAGTTGAACAGGCCAAAATATGTCTTAATGGCTACAGGATTTATTTTATTTAAGAGCAAAAAATTCATCTTAACGCGACTAGACGATAGGATTTCACTGATTGTAAATGATTATCATAGAAAATACTTTGACACATTGAGTCATTGTACATACCTACTTTTACAAAAAAAGTTACTCATTATGTGACTATATAACTTTACTTTAATTTCCTCACTCGTTAATAATTACCAGCCTTGCTAACGAGTAATGTGTATTCGAGTAAATGGCCAGCAGTGTATATCAATGATGAAAATACGTTATGAACTATTATGATAGTAACATCATAACGAGTATCGTTATAAGCGATATGTTAGGTGCGCAAAAAACCAACAAACGACGACTACTAATAGTACGAAATACTTGAAAATGTGTGAATGTCTAATCCGCATATATTATTATGTATAATAATTGGTTCCGTCTTATAAATGTACAACACAGCGGATTCGTGTTCAATGGTTTCGATGTAGTGTAGTGACCTTTAATAATACAGCGAATCGGAAATAGCAACAAACTTTATAGTAAAAACATTAACAGTGTTTTTTTCCCATTGGTTTTTTATGATATTTAAATTTTCAAGTGAGTTCTGATAATTTTCAATTAATAATGATGGAAAATTAAAATTTCGTGAAAATTCCACGTGAAAACGCAGTTAACGTTCTTTCATTCAAGCTCATAGTGACGAGTTAATTCACCCTGCGATCAAATATGTATTATTAAACCTAAATTTCACAAACCACCGAACACACGCGTTGGCCATGTCGTAGTCGTATCACTCTCGGGCTGGGGCGGGGGGGGCGTCCTCTTATGACGAAAATAGAAAATATAATACGAATAATCGTAACCGTATTCGAAAATCACAGAAGAGAGGATCACGAGTGGAGTTAGTGGTTGTATTCGACGGGAGCACACACACACACACACACACACACACACACACACACACACACACATACACAAGCTATAATAACGTGGCCCCGGGGCCGCGTGCGGAAAACCAATCGCGAACGAAACGTATTTTATATTATTATTATTATTATTATTAAATTGCACGTAATGCGCGTATGTTGCAGTTGTACAGTCTGCGGGGCCTGATGCAGGGCAGCAAGAAGAACCAAGGTATGGCGCCGCTGGGCAACAATTTCCGACCACCACAGCCGCTGCACAATCGGCTGGTGCGCACCAATATCGATTTCAACCTGAGAAAGGTAATATAATATTTTTGTACTACTTCCGCGATGCATTAAGATCGTCCCGATGATATATTGTGACCCGCACACGCCCCCGCGGCCACGTGCCCGGGGTGTGGGAGGGGGGGGAGGAGGAGAAATCGATTTGGCCCGCGTGAGTGGGAGGGGGTACATATCATAGATCGTAATCGATACGCATTACAAATCTCAAAGTCGGTAAAAAAAATGTTCTCTCCCACGGCATTGCAGCGCCGGCGAGTGGGTGAGTGGGTGGGCGAGGGGCTGAACGCTTTCCACGTGACGCCAGGGTTATTCAAAGGCGCACGCAAACTTTCACAGTCCGCTTCCCGCGCGTACCTGTGTGTTATAGTAATAAAGCACATTCCGCAATAATATAATAAACATCACATGATAATAATATAATTATTGTTATTATTATTATTATTATTATTATTATTGTTATTATACATTACACGCTCACCGAGATTTTCTCAGTAGCTTCCTGGCAAACACTCCTCCAGCTACGATTAACGTCAAACAATATTATTAGTTTGTACATTGGGTATAATAAAACTCTACAAACATTCTTATATATTTTTCCTCCACATGACTGCAGTTCAGATTGAGATGGTTTAGATACGACCTATAAGATATTTTCAAGAATGTAACTGAGTAATAAAATCAAAAAAAAAAAGGAAGAAATACCAAAAAACTGTTTTTAGATTTTATTATCTTCCTAAAATTCGAGCTGAATTTCCTGTTTCACCGAGCTGATTTTTATTCTCAGTCCAACCCTGAATACATAATATCCATTACAGAATTCGTTGAAAACAATTTATTTTGCATATTAATGCGTATTTTGAAGATTAAAAAATATTATTTTGCCTATATTCTTCATATTATTATTTTGTATTATTGCTCATAAGAAAAATCCAATTTGTTCATTTCTCGAGTTCTAATTATTTGGTAGCAAGACAATTTTTACTGTTTGTACATTTATTCAGAATTTTAAATCGTATGAAGTGAAAAAAAGCTTAATTTCAGTATATTTCACCAGTTTGAGGATTATTAAGATAATGTTTTAAGGTTTTTTTTTTTATCGCAAATCAGAATCATATTCTAAACTTTTAAGAGCCAATAAATATCCGCTATGAGTTAAGACTTCATAGCGTGAGTGCGATATTATTTGCATAAACAGTGACTTAACCGCCAATAAAGGACACCCCCAAATAGTGGACACGGCTTTTCGTGAACAAATTTCAAACCAAGCTCCAGAAGAATATATGGTGCGGCACCAATTTCGACCACCGGCAGTGGCCGGTATTTGGAGATTTCACCATAATATCATCGTATCACCGTCGAGCTGGTTTTTAACAGGTCGTCGAGACCTTCTCCCCCCCCCCGCCCCACCTAAAAAGAGGACGGTCTTTTGAAACGTTTAGTTTGTATTTATACCGTCAGAGCAGCGAGACATTTAATATTATATAATACCTCCGACTGACCCTCTGCCCAAGTATTACGATTTAATAAAAAAAATAATATGTATCAGGACGTCGTCGCCGACCGAATAAAATATAAAAACCGTTTCGTTTGACGACGACGTTAATGGACTGCGCTCTTGTTTTTTTTTCTCTTATTTATTTACTCATTTATTACCTTTTTTTTTTTCTTTTTTTTTTTTGAATTACAGGACGATGAGAAATACTGCCCGAGCATGCACAAAGACGTATACTACAAGGGTGAGTGCGTAGTATTAATTGCGGTTATCCGTTTGTCACGATTTATTTATTCGTTTAACGGACGAGCGAGCGGACGGTCGAGTACACCGCGAGCGCCTCAGTCCTTTTTATTATAATATTATACGCGTTTGTACTCTATTTATACTACCACTGCGCTATACCGCAGTTACCACTATTATACCACCAGTCTACAACCGCTGCAATTATAATAATATGTATACGTATAATATGATAATAGTATTAGCTACGCAACTCGCATTAACCGACGCCGGCCGCATGCACTTCCGTCGACCATCCGGCCGGCGATATTCGAGTCGGTATAATATATAAGGTCACGTGTATACGCAATAATTTATCGGACCCTCCCCTATTTTTGTCCGCGGCGAACACATTTCGTACTCGCACGTCCCCTGCTCGATAATATTACACGCAGTTTTGTTTTTGTTTCAGCCAACGACTGGAAACCTCACTAATAACGTACCTACCTACGTATATACAACTCGCGGCCGCCGCCGTAGCCTTCGCCGTCGTCACTCGTCCGTTGAAACAACAACAACTGCACCGTCGTCGAGCAAACCGGACGACGACGACGACGACATTCCAGTATACATCATTTTAAGATATCATTATTACGATATTAATATTGTGTAAAATAAATTATTTAATTAAGTATAAAAAATAACTGAGAAAAAAAAAACGTATGGCAAGGCCAAAAAAAAAAAAAATAACCGACTCTAAGATTATCCGAGGGCTCTCTCTACCACTCTCACTTTCTCTCTCTCTCTCTCTCTCTCTCTCTCTCTCTCCTCTCCATTTCTATTTTTCTCTCAATCACTCTCTCTCTTTCTCTCTCTTTCTCTCTCTTATATTTCTATTTTACGCTCTATCTCGTTTTCCTACTCCCTGGATTAATTTTGGGCTCGAGCACGAACGTCTCATTCCGATAGGCACACCCCCACGCACGGCGTAATAACAATAACAAAGGTTTTAGTCTGTTTCGTCGTTTCGACAACAATCGTAATATTAACTAATAATAATCATGTTTATACGAAATGCATGATGAAAAAAATGTGGAAAAAACGCCTCGCTGCTTTGCTCGAAAAACGGTACTACCTATACGAACGTTTTGTCCGTATATTCTACCGGGTCGCGAGAGAGGACGGGGAGAAGTCCTTAGGGTCGGATTTTTTTTTCCTATATATTTTTTTTTTCTTCAGGGATAATAGTTGTATTAATAATATATATATATACATGTCTTCGGCTCGATATCGGGAGGTTCTCGGAAACGGAATCCTTCGCAATACGCGCGTTCCAATAATACAACTGTAATGTTGCTATACGGAAGTAAAACGAACGCACGCGAAAACCCTCGAACGAAACAATAATATTATACCCACGCGTAGTGCAGAGAATAAAATATATAAATATATATATATATATATATATATATATAGTCGTACCCATCTACCCACCCAACCCGCCAACTTCGCCTACCCGCCTTCCCCATGCATACGTAAGCACGCCGGCGACGACGACTTGCGTATAAAAATCGCTCTCCGTTTTTCCGGGTGTTTTATAGATTTTGCATTAGGACACGTTGTGTTTATGGGCACATGAAAATATGTTTTCCCGTGTCGTAATACCTACCTCCCGAAATGTGTATTTGTCATTACCCCGGGAATAATAATATATTCCCACTCGAATCGTATTCCCTCGCACTGATCTCAGACGTCGGAGCATAATAATAATAACAATAATAATAATAATACAGAAATCACGATTTTACTTTTTTAAATAATTTGTTTCTATTATTATTATCCCGCAAACGGCGCCACCCAATATTTAGTATTTAAAACGGTGTGGGTTACCGCGTGTCGGTCGTGAGTTGAACGTTTAAATTTGTTTTTTTTATCCTGTACATTAAATTTATCATAATCTATAATAATAATAATAATAATAATATTAATAATACTATATCTATAGACGGGTTTATTTTGACATAAAATAAATTATATCGAAAGCTTGTTTTTTTTTTTGAAAAATCACGTTAATCTTAATAAAATCCACTACGCTACTGAAAACGTAACATGAAATTATTTTAATTCCAATATAATTATAAAATACTCATATACAATATTATTGTATCATTAAAAGTACACAGGTACCTACTATTTAGGCGATATTAAAAATAATAATAAACTCATCACGCAGCATAACGGTCTGTGTTCATTATAATATTTAAATAACATTTTAAACAACACTATATGTTCATAGTAGTTGTTGTTCTCGAAGTAGATACCTAACTCTATTGGATGGAAACATAAAATTAAAACAAAAACAAAAACTACATTCGTGTTGAAATCGTGAGTCTTAACTACAGACTTAGATTTATTTATTATTATATTATATTATACTCATCTATACGGAGTTTTACGAGATTTTAGAGCCTGTTGATATCGAGCTGAGTTTGCACTGCGTTAAAAAAAAAAAAAAAAACATAATCATCTCGTATATATACGTGAATTTACATTACACATATCTCCATGATTGTAATAATTTATATACTCATATTATGTAAACAGTTATTTCAGAGCACTCTTAATTTTGACTGAAATTCAATTAAAACGTACTATTGTTTTGCTAGCGACTTGTTTTTATTGTAATATTATATTGTAATAATACATAAATTCATACATAATATATTATTATACATTAAACATTATGCATATTATTATTATATGGATGTCTGTAGTGTGTCAAGGTTCCTACAATACGTTGTTATCATTATTAGTGTATTAATAAACCTTTGACCAAGTGTTTTTGATTTTTTTTGGTTATAATTATTCCATTTATTTCCCAATGTTTCCCAATGGTATAACATAATTAACAATTTTGTGCTTGCCTTTATCATACGAATCACTTTACGAATGATTATTAATATCTTTATATTAGTGTATTACTATGGTGTATAGGATACAGAAAAAAACAATTAAAAAATGCAACACCCACGGCGGATGGACGACCGACCTGGGAGTAAAATTTACTACAAAAAGAATATTTTTATTTTGTTAAATTTATATAGGAAATGCCAAGTATTTAGGTACACAATAAAACGTGTATTTACAATATTTTTAGTTCTGCATAAATTAAAATTGCATTTACTAAATTTAAATAATATCAAAAAGCTGAATTATACATAACATTAAATGTTTTAATGTTTATAGCTACATTTAATTTAAAAATATACGTGACCATGGAATCATGTCAAATCGGTAGGTGACTACATGATGATAATAATTATTGTAACAATTTATTTTCGTATTTATTTCATCAACCAGTATATATCATTATTTGGTATTGCGTGTCAGTGATGAGAATATTATCATATTATACCTACCTAAATCTGACCAAGATAATACACTTAAATCTCGTTCATAATCATATTATACTTTAAACGTCCAGTGTAAAAATAATAATTAGTACCCGTTAATAATCTTATTAACGCAGCGAAAATAAATTCACCGATGGAGTTTGTAGCCAAACAAAAGACCGAAGGAAATAGTACATAGCAAACACAATTTTGAACTGATAGCGTCGAATGACGTGTGCTCGATTGTCTTAGACGAAAATTGTTCAAAACATGTTTTTTGAAATGTAATTTTGTATGGTAAAATATGTTTGAAAAATACGGGGAGAAGAAACATAAAAAATACACATTGAACAAATAGAAAAAATACGCGTTCAGTAAATAAGTCTTGGGTGCGTGACAGATAAAATATTCGCGCGGAGAGCGAAAAATCCGGTGTGAATGAATGGGGAACATTTGACATAAAAATGTAAAGGTGTCGAGCGGTAGAAAAAAACGAAAGAATTCTAGTTTATCTGTGATAACAAATCATAACGAGAAGGCTGTGGTATAAAACAAGATTTCAACTACTTGGGATTTCTTTAAGTTCTACCTGAGAATTACGCAAACATAAATCGTTGAGAAAACAGATTTTTTTCCCCCGTCATTTCTCAACCGCAGAATGGGATCATTCAATTTATACGTATATAGCTTTAAACAACTTACTTGTGTTTGTTTACGATCATTTTCGTATTTTTTACATTTCTCGAGACAAAAACCTAGATTGTAGGTGCTCGCGTTGAAAATAATCCATCGTACATGATGTAGAACATAAATATTTACAACGCCGTATAGAAACGTAATTAAAATCTGGGTCAAACCTGTTGACAAATATTATAGTAGCATTATATTTAAGAAAAACGGGTAAGTGGATGTCGCTCTGCTGTACAGTAGGTTACAAGTGGATCACTGTAATGGATGGTTTTAAATTTAATTTCAATAATACAAAATCATTGTATTATAAAAACAATTCTACGCGAAGACGGTCTGTCAGTCTATAATATTACTTAATAATTTAGTATATTTTATGATATTATTGTGATTAAAGTAGCCAATTTATTTTACTAGTAAGCATTACTACTAGGCAGTAAATTAAATTCATTTTTGCCAAAAAAAATACGTTTGAAAAGTTATTGTGTGTATAAAACATTATTATATACTTTGAAGGTTTCAAGTACCCACGAATAATATTTTTAATTAATAACAAAATAACGTAAATCAATATTCTTGGTTATTTAATATGTAATTTCGTCCACATTTGAACAAAAAAAAACTAAAAAAAAACTGTGCTTCTGTGTTTTAAGATTTTTTGGTTACAGAAAAACCTATTTGTGTAGAACTTTGTTAGCCTTAGCTATAAAAATTGAAAATATTAAAAATTGTTCACTTTAAAATTATTTGTGAATTTTGAGTGATGTAAATTTTATCAACATTTGAACACTGAATCCTTATTAAAAAAAAATTGAAAATGTTCATAAACATTTCAAAACGAGTCAAAATATTTTGAAAATTTTTTCAAGAATATGAATTGATAATATTTCATACATATTTTATGAAATTCTAAATTCAAAATCGCATTAAAAATGATTATAGATTTACGCTCAACTTTTTTTTTTAAATTCCACTAACAATAATTTACGAAGGACCTTTTGTTACATTTTCAAGCTTTTTGACCGAGTGAAAAATTTTTTATCGACATTAGTGTTTTTATGACGCCTATTGGCGTCATTAGCGTCATTGAATAATTTTTTAGTCAGACCCTATTTAACGCCATTTGGCGTCATGATATAAAAATATAAATAATAATTATTATTATTCAAATACTTAAATACTACTGTATTACAATATTAGTTATAAAACAATAATGAACAACTGATAAAGTAACGCTAAAAGAACATGAAATAATAATATAAAGGGATTCCCTGTTCAAGTCACTGACCTAAAAATAGAAAAATTGAGATACGGATTGCACATACTTATACAGTTATGTACACTGAATAACTCTGACGAAAAAAAAAGATTAAAAGGCAACGCTGGCCAAATTGCCAAATTAAAAGTAGTTGAAAATCAATGTATAAATACGCCTTATGATGGCACCATTGCGTCATTCGCACACGGGTACGATCGAAATGACGCCTCAAGGCGTCATCGTCATCCCGCAGTGAAAGTGTTTAAAAAAACAAATAATAATCGAACATTTCATATGCTTAAAAAAAATGTTTAACAGAGTCCAAATATTTTGAAAACTGTATGGTGTATAGACAAAGCTACTATCATTCAATGAAAATGTCATGTATCTATGATATTTTTTTTTAGAAATACATCAAAAACCAAAATTGGTTATTTCGAAAACCAGGTTTCAGTAAAAATTTCAATTTTTCCTTTAATTCTTGTTTGTTTTTCCAGTCGCTTTTGGAAACCATTGGCAATTTTTTTACTTTTGACCCCCCCCCCAAAAAACCACATTAGTTTCACTTTCCTACCAGAAAAAATGCTATTGAAGAAAATCGAAGAGTTTTTTCTATCCCAAAACCTGATGACAGTCACAAAAAAATACAAAATAAAAAAAATAAACACACATCATGCCAAAATCAAATTCTGTCAGAATCTATAATGGTTAAAATTTTTTAAAAAAACCAAAAGTCATGTTAAAATTTACAATGTTTATATTATATCAAAATAATAATCGTTTTACATTTTTTGTAAGCTAATCGATTTTTAATTTTAGACAAAAATTGAATTAATTAAAAAATAACATTTCTGGAGTATCGCTAGGTTATAAGATATTTGTTGAAATTAAAAAGAAATATAGAAAGATCATCTTAAACCAAATGTAACTAATCAAAATAAAAAATAATAATAAGTGTATTTAAAATTGAAACTAAAATCGAAAAAATGTAAAAAGGTATTTAATATTGTAACTTAAATCAAACAAAAAACAATTAACTGAACACTGCAATAAAATCGATTTTGTGAAACGTTATAAAAATCATAAAATTACAATGTCAATATATAATTTTTGATTTTAAATCAGTAAAAAATAAAAATATCGATAAATGAAATTGAAAATTTTTAGTTCAAGCACTGATTAGTAATAGTGACTCGTACGTTTAAATATATTTCTTGATTGGTCGTTGATTTATCAAATCCCACTCAATTTAGAGCTTAACTACTTATTATATATATTATATTTGCACTTAATCCTACGAAATAAACGTAGGAACGGGTACGAATAGAACATGTTTACAAGGCTTAATTAATGGTATTTTAGTTATTTATAGATTTTTTTTTTATTTAATTGAATTAGGTCGGCACTACTATTTTTCAATACAATTGATATTATA